CATGTATCCAGTAAATTGCCAAATGTTATTGTTTCTATCTCTACAATATCTCTTCCATTACATCTTCCTGTCTCTACTCACCGGTCCCCACCGTAGTTTAGGTTCTCATTACATCTCTCCTGAACAATTGCAGTATTCTATGGACTCTCTTTCTCAATTCTCTTCCCACTGTAATCCATTCACCACTCAACTATCAAAGTGATTTTCCTGTAGTGTAGCCTTGTTGCTCGATAGATTCCAGTGGTTCCTTTATTCCGACTACAATCAAATATGAAGTCCATTGTTCAGCATTTGAAGTTCTTCACAACTTGGCCCCTTCATAGCCTTCTAATCATTTTACCTTCTACTCTTTTCTATGTGCCAATCTGGTCTACTTATTATTCCTTCTAAAGGACACTATGTTTCCTGTATTTCTCCCTTTGTACTGGGTGTTCCCCATACTTTCCCTCCTAACCTTTCACCTATCTTCCTTTATGACTCATCTCAGATGCCACCTTGTCCAGGCAACCTTTCTTGGTGTTCCCCCTCTCCCTACCCAGCTGTGTATTTTGATTTATATATGCTCTTTCCCCTGTTAGAATGTAAGTTTCTTGAGGGCAGAGACTGTTTTTTTTCTTTTTGTAAAGGTGAGGTTGAAATCATCCCATTCCATTTTTGTCTTGATACCTTAACCAGGTGAGAACACATTTGAATATGTCAGTCAATCATAGGCTTAAGGTCAAACATGAAAAGTTTTTAAAAGACATTGGATGAAGGGGCAGCTAGGTGGCAAAGTGGATAGAGCTCTGGCCTTGGAGTCAGGAGGACTTGAGTTCAACTCTGGTCTCAGACACATAATACTTACTAGCTTTGTGACCCTGGGCAAGTCACTTAACCCCAACTGCTTCACCAAAAAGAAAAAAGAAAAAAAAGACATTGAATGAAATGAAATTATTCCAGACAAGAAATCCATTCCAACAGGCTTAGAGCTTTCATCACACCCTCCACATCCCATATAAAAACATTGAGTTAGCTGGAATCAAAGAGCTCAAGAAAGTGGAGTAGGTTTGAGATAGTCTAGCTAAAATCTTGAGAAGGAACTACCTGAAGGAAGAGGGCAAAGAAGCACCAGCTTTGGTCTTAGTTCTTCTCTTTCCTACTTTTGGCCAGAAGAAGACCTTGCAAACTGCAAAGAATCTGGAGGTTTGGAGGTTTCCTACCTTTCCACCTGCATCCTAGCATCCTTCCTTCTCCACCCACTCCCAACCCCAGAGACAGTAGCAGCTGGTGGTGGCAACGTCTTCATCAGGAGCCAGGGCAGACTAGATACAGATCCACCATGTTTAAGGGGAATTTCTGGGGCACCTCACATTTGGGAGAAAAGGACCTTTAACTATCCGAAGTTATGAGTTACTCCTTTGCCACATGTGTGCTCTAAGCTTGAGCCCACATTCTCCTGGACATTTTATTTGTGGGAGAAAGTGTTCTCAGACTTTTTGGAGGGATGTTTTGAATCGTCTCTTTACTATACCACCTTAATAAATATGCCTTTCTAAAATCTACTTAAGGCTGACTAATTGATTCTCAACTGCTAATCTTTTGGGAAGTACACCAAAGAGGGTTCAAGCTCAGATGGCTTTAGAGAATCACCTCTGACTCCTAACGAATTCCCCTAGCACTCAGAGTGGGAGATGTTGTTTTGCTCTGGAACCTAAGACTTGTCTGTGAGAGTGTGAGGTAAGGATTCTCAGAGTATATATGGGCTACTTCTGTGTCTCCAGTGCTTAGCACAGTGCTTGATTGGCACATAGTACATTTTTACTGGTTGATACTTCATAAGTGGTCATCCAGATTCTGTTTGAAGACTTTCAGTGGGGAAGGGGACCCACTATCTCTTTTTTTCTTTTTTTTTGGGGGGGGGTGAGGCAATCAGAGTTCAGTGACTTGCCCAGGGCCACACAGCTAGTAAGTATCATGTCTGAGACTGGATTTGAACTCAGGCGCTCCTGACTCCAAGGCCAGAGCTCTATCTACTTCACCACCTAGCTGCCTGACCTCTTGAGGCATCACATTCCACTTTTGGACACTGTTAATTGTTAGGGAGTTTTTCCTGACATCAAGCCTAACCTTGTTTCTATCACTCCTCGTTTTAACTTCTAGATTCAAAAAGAATAGCAATTTGACATGAAAACACTTCAGATATTTAAATATACTGTTCACATCCCTCCTGACTCCTCTCTCATGGAGAGATTCTACAGGTGAGGAGAGAGGCCAGCTTGCTGCCTTATCTCTCCACCCAGGCTGTCATGTGGCTATGAAAGCACAGTGCCTCATTCCTTCTGTCTCTATTATGTTTCTTCTTTCTTGATTTTAGGAGGATGGGTATCAGAGACAGAACTGATCAGGTCAAGACCTTGTGAGCTTTGAAAGGTCAGAAGAACCATTAGAGGTCCTATCAGTCAATATTTATTAAGCCCCTACTGTGTGCTAAGCATTAAGGATGCAAAAAAAAAAGGCAAAAGATAGTTCCTTCCCCCAAGAAGCTTATAGTCTAATGAAGCAAACAACAAGCAAAAAATATTTACAAAGCAAATTATGTACAGGATAAGTGGGAAATAATTGGTGAGAAGCACTGTAGAAGATGAGATTTTAGTTGGAACTTAAAAGAAGCCAGGAAATTCAGTAGTTGGAGCAGAAGAGGGAGAGCGTTCCAGTCATAGGGAACAATCAGAGAAAAGGCAGAGCCAAAGAGTTGGAGGATCTTGTTCATGGATCAAAGAATTTGTGTTGGGGTGAAAGGTATAAGAACATTTGAAAGGTAGGAGCGGGCAAGATGATGAAGGGCTGTGAATGATACATAGAGCAATTGTGTGGCCAGCAACTGGAGTTTTACAGTAGAGTCTACTGGGTATCCAGAGCACCTGGACCAACCCAGCAATGAATTGACTTGACAGATGAAATCCTGGTATTGAAAGCACGGAAGTGACTTGTCCATTGGCTCTGCCACACCCAAAAGTGAATTTATTCTGAGAAATTTTTAGTAGTCACTTTGAATCCTCTTCCTAGAGACCGAAGTGGTAGAGAAAAATGGACTCCTGATTCCAGAGGTTTGGGTATTTTGAACCTTGCTACATTTTGTCAATAAGTATCTCTTTATTAAACCTAAGTAATGTTAATCGGCTAATTGATAATGAATAGATATCGATTGGTTGTCAATTATGTCAAAGAGATAACTGGACAAATTGATATTTAGGGTTAGGGGAGATAACTGGATATTGACACTGGGGAAATGGTAATCGGCAATTGATATTGGGAGGAATACATTGTACTGATGGTACAGAAGATATCTGCAAACTCTCAGGTTTATACCTACCTACACATATACCCCTAAAACACTCAGGGTGAGAAGTAGCCAAATTTTACAGATCTGACCTACTAGTGCTATCACAAGTTGACAGAGTGAACTCAGAACCTACATATGCTACATTAAAAATTCAGCTTGGGGCAGCTAGGTGGCACAGTGGATCAAGAACCGGCCCTGAGATCAGGAGGACCTGAGTTCAAATTCAGCCTCAGACCAAACATTTGACACTTACTAGCTGTGTGGTCCTGGGCAAGTCACTTAACCCCAATTGCCTAAAATAAAAATATTTTTTAAAAAATTCAGTTTACATTTGACATAGCATTTTACCTTAGCATTTCCCTCACATCACCACCATGAAGTAATGCAAATACTATCTCCATTTTACAAATGAGGAAACTGAGGCTCAGAAAAATAGAAGAAACTTTCCCAAAAAGCTACACAGTTGGTAATTGTCAAAACCAGAAGTTGAATCTTTGAACTTCAAATCTAAGGCATATTCTATGATATACAGATGGAAAATGACCCAATAGCTATTCTCAAGAAGTTTACAGTTAATGGACATGGAGGCACATGCCTGTAGGTCCTGCTACTCAGGGACTGCCAAGCAGATTCTGGTAGACCACTGGAGTCTGACAGTTCCAAGCTGCAGTCAAACTAGAGTGAATCAGGTGTTTGCATTGTCTGGCACCAGTATGGGGAGCCCTCTGGCAGTGATGGTTCACCTGGCTGCCTAAGGAGAGGTGAATTGGTCCAAGCTGAAAACAAGTTAAAATTTCTACACTAATCACTATTGAGATTGGGCTGGTAATTGGTCACTACACTTCCAGCCTGAGATAGGGAGATCCAGCCTCAAAAAGACCAAAAAAGTTTATAGCCTAATATGTCCCAGTAGGCCAGGTAGCATTTGTGCCTAGCCTAGCTCACAGACTTCCCATTGGGCTTTCCTGTTCAGGGCTCTTATCTTAACCAAGAGGAAACTGAACAGAGAATGTTTGGTCTTTGTAATGACAAGAATGGGTCTCCTGGGGGTGAAATAGGCAATAGCAGAATCACAGCAATAGTCTGGGTCCAAGTTTGGGGGGTAGCAGGGATCAAAGAAATCTTCTTAGATGGGGTAACATTCAATCTGGGCTTTCAAGAGTGGATAGGAATTCAAAAGATGGAGAGGTAAACTCTACAAGCATAGGGAATTAAATGAGGAAAAACATGATGCAGAAATTCAGGGCATAGGTGGAGATAAGGGTGAATAGGTAGAAAGGTGCCAGATCATGGAGGGCCTTGAACAGTAGGTTAAACTGTCTGAATTTTAGCTCTTAGGGAACCACTGTAGAATTTTGAGCAGAGACATAACCAGATGTGTGTTAAAATAAGATGAAAGTCTTCAGGAAGAACCAGAAAATGATAGCCACAATGTGAAGGAACCATTCCAAACTCTTAGTGAAATGTCCAGTCCTGACTTCAGAATCCTGATGGGGAAGTGTGCCTCCCACAGAGGGTGGTGCCTATAGATGCAGAATGAGGCATACATTTTCAGACACGGAGAAAGCTTTGCTATGCTTCACTGCATTTTGTTACTATTTTATTTTTTTACTCAGAATTTCTTTTTTTTTGAGATATGCTTGTTCTTTTTTTATTCCATGATAGTAATATAGCCACATACAACCAATTTTACAAAAGAGAAAGCTTTTCATAAAAATACCTTCCTTGAACCATCTTTTTTTTATTCTTCAACAGTTACTACTGAAGCTAGTTACCCTATCTGTCGTTCAGTTGTTTCAATTGTGTCCGACTCTTCGTGACTTTATTTGGGGTTTCTCCGGGTTTTCTTCCGAGTTCTCCTAAGTCCCTTCAGAGCTTTCTCTTTGAGGCATCTTCCATCCTCCCTGTCCCATCCCCAACAGGGCCCTAAGAGCTACCCAGAGACAAAGACGCGAGTCAGGCCCATTCGAGGTCATCAGGTGGGAGCTTTAATGTGCTAGAAAACTGATTCTAGATGATGGAGGTGGGGCTGCCTGCTGGGAGGGAGGAGGAGGAAGAAGATGGCAGGAAGGTACAGGAGGCAGGGGCTTGCCACATCAGGTTCTGTGGGGAACAGAGGGGTGTGGACACCGAATTCCATTCTCTAAAACATCAGGCACCGGCGTGGACAGAAGTGATCAATAGATCTGCAGCTCAGGCCCCAGTGGCAGGGACAGAGGATGGTTGTGTTTGCTGTTGTCTGCAGGAGGGAGACAGGGGAGATTGGGATCACATATTGGGCTGCCAGAAATCTGTCTTCTCAGAGGCAGGCCCAGCCACGGCCAAACCCAAACAACGTGCTCAACTGATTGCTACTCTTCCCTATTCCTGAGGTGGAAGCATTACTAAGACGAGGAATTCTCTGAGCTTCCATCTCACTTCAGGCAACAAAGGTCTGCCCTGATAGATCAGCAGAACTGTCTCTGGCTCTTTCCTAGGGGTGGGTGTTCTGAAGATGCTGCTACAAGGAGTGGAGGGGTGGGAGGCAGAAAATCACGTGGTATGCCTACCCAACCTTTTACACAGTCCACTTCCTATTACCAGGAACATTAAGGGCAGCCTTGAAAGGCAAAGGAAGGTCCCAAAGAGTAACCTGGAAAAGAACAGTCCTATCCAACCTGCTTTGCTTTGGTGACTGAGGAAGATGCAGAGTTTAGGGACTGATGGTGCATGTGGATATGTATGAGTGTGTCTGCATATAATTCCTTTGTTTATTTGCTTATTTTTAGCACCGGGGGGTAAGAGAGAAAGTCACCTCCTTTTCCCAATTAGCAGTGATCCTGCTCAGCAGGGGAGACCCAGTTCTATCCCCCAGGGATAGATAGGCCTCATGAATTGGGACATTTTACCTGGTAACCCACCTGCGGTAAACATAGCATCTCTATTTTTCCTTTGGGAGCACAAAAGTTCATAGCCCTGTACAAGCTTATGAGACAGCAGCTGCTTCTGCAATCTGAGTGCTGGTAGCATTCCTCTCCATCAGCCTGTAATGACATAGGGATTATCTCTCTCTCTTTTGTTTTTTTAAAGACAATTAGGGTTAAATGATTTGCCCAGGGTCACACAGCTAGTAAGTGTCAAGTGTTTGGTCTGAGGCCATATTTGAACTCAGGTCCTCCTGACTTTAGGGCCGGTGCTCTATCCACTGTGCCACCTAGCTGCCCCTGATTATATCTCTCTTTACCCTCCAGAGCCAGGGGCTCCTCTGCAGCCTGGGTGGAGGGAGGTGCCTACCACAACAGGCTTTCTATGGTTTTCTCCTACCTTTACATGCATGGTCTCCACATCTAGCTATTTCTATCCAGCCCCTCATCCTGCTCTCTCCACCTTTCTCTTCCCCTGTCCCCTTCTTGAGTCCCAGCCCCAACTCCACTCTCTTCAATATCCCTGAGCTGCTGGAAAACAGAAAACAGATCTACCGTGGAATACCCTTGTCAGGGGTGGCTATCAGCAAAATCCCACCAACAGACTGATGTGAGGGTGGGGAAAGAGAGGAAAGATGGGGGAGAAATGATGATGGAGAAGAAATGCATAGACTCGTTTGTTGAAAGGGAACTGGATATTGGGCGATGGTAATAAAAGGATTATAATAATTATAATTATAAATAATTATTATTATCATAAATTATTTATGTATTTGGGCCATTAAGTGGTGAAGTGGATAGAGTGTCAGGCCGAAGTCAAGAAGACTCATCTTCATGAGTTCAAATCTGGCCTCATACAATTACTAGCTGTGTGACCCTGGGCAAGTCACTTTACCCAGTTTGCCTCAGTTAAAAATAAGTTAGAGAAGGAACTGGCGAACTACTCCACTATCTTTGCCAAGAAAACCCCAAATGGGGTCACGAAGAATCAGACATGACTTGAAATGAGAGCAACAACAAAATTTTGTGTTTTTCTTTGGGGCTTATATAGCATTTTCATGACAATGACCCTATGAGGTAGGTAATCTGACCATTTTTATCCCCATTTTACAGATAAGGCAAATAAGACTGAGAAAAGTTAAGTGATTTGCCCAAAGTCACACAGCTAAGAAGTTTCCAAAGCAGGATTCAAACTCATTATCCTTACCCCACATCTAGAGCTTTTCCCACTATATCCTGGGAGGCCCTTGAACCCAGAAATTTAAGGCTGAAGACCAGAGCTGGAGAAGGTGGCCACTGAATTACAGCAGTCACTTATCTGGGTCACTTATCTGGGACAGGCTGGATTCCTCACTTCTCCTCCTGTGCTTTGGTTGCAACTCCTTTGAAAAACTTGTTCTGAATTTGAACATGTAAAATAATGAAAAGAATGCCCTGAGGGACATTGTTCTCTCCCCAGCCCTAGTTCCATTTTTCTCCGCCTGAATAGCATGGTTGTAGCAGGAAGAGCACCAGGGTTCTGTTCTGGCCACATCACTGCCTACCTGCACAGATCCTTCCTCAATAAGATGAAGACTTTGGACTAGGTCAGGCATTCTTTTTTTTTTTTTTTGGTGAAGCAGCTGGGGTTAAATAACTTGCCCAGAGTCACATAGCTGGTGAGTGTTACGTGTCTGAGGTCACATTTGAACTCAAGTCCTCCTGATTGTAGGGCTGGTACTCTATCCACTGTGCCACCTAGCTGCCCCTAGGTCAAGCATTCTTAAGCTGAGGTCCATGAACTTGGAGGGAAATGACATCTCTATTTTCACTAACCTCTAATTGAAATTTAGCATTTCCTTTAATTATGACTCTTTTGTCCTTGAAAGGGGGCCATAGGCCTCCCCAACCTACCAAAGGAACCCATGACACAGAAAAAAGTCAAGACCCCTGGGCTCCAAGGTCTCTAAGGCCTCTTTAGTGCTCCCCCATTCATTTGTGAGTTCCTTGAGGGCAGGAACTGTCTTGCTTCTTCTTGTAACCCCAGCATTTACCACAGCATCTGGAACATGGTAGGCACTTAATAATGTTTATCAACAGACTGACTGATTCTGAACCAGTCTTTTTATAGAGTGAATCCTAGGCTGACCTAGGACAGCACACACACACACACACACACCCCACTACCCAGTCAATGGATGACTGTTCTCAGCCCAACCCTCAACTGAGGCCCCCAGAATCTTTTTATAAGAGACATGGAAACAACCTCACCTTCAGTTTCAAATTTGTCTTCCGAAGGCTGGAAGACACCTGGCCCAAGACTAGGGCAAACCCCAGCAAGACAAGGCTTTTCTCCATGGGAATCAGAGCAGCACTGGATTAGGATGAGGCTGGCTGCTGGCAGTTGGAACGTCCCCCTCCTCCTCCTTCACTGTGGGGTGGAAGTCTTTGTCCCTCCTTCAAGGCATTCTAGGTGGCCTCAGGGATCACAGAGATCTTTCCTTCCTCTTAACTCTGTGAGCACTTTCTGTCTGTACCATTCACTGATATTCGTGTACAGTCTGGCTTGGGTGTTTAATTATCATTCATGGACCCATATCTCCTCTCCCCAACTAGACTGGGTGAATAGGGCTGAGCACACAGTAAATCCTGACTAGTTGATTCTGTAGGGAGACTGAGGTTTTCATTTACTAAAACACAGCACCAAAGCCCTCAGGCAGATATGTGGTGCAGTGGGTAGAGTCTTGGAAGTCAGGAAGACCTGAATTCAATTCTGAACTCAGATTAGCTGAATGACTGCAGACAATTTTCTTTAGCTTCCTCAACTGTTAAATGGGTATAATAATAACACCCTCCACTCATAATGGAAAATGCTGTCCACATCCAGGGAAAGAACTAGGGAGTCTGAATGCAGCTCAGAGCATACAATTTTCACTTTTTTCAGTTTTTGTTTTTGTGATTTTCCCCTTTTGTTCTGTTTCTTCATTCACAACATGACTAATGGTATGAAAATATATTTAACATGATTACACATGTATAACCTATATCAGATTGCTTGCTATCTCGGGGAGGGGGAAGGGAAGGGAGGGAGGGAGAAAAATTTGGAGTTCAAAATCTTATAAAAAATGAATGTTGAAAACTCTTTATGTGTAATTGAAAAAAATAGAATATTATTTGCAAATAATAATAATAGCACCTTCCTCCCAAGGCTATTATGAGGATGAGATAATATTTGAATAATATCAGATAATATCAGATAATATCAAATGAGATAGTGTTTGAAAAGTCCTTACTTAGCACAGTGCCTGGCACACAGTAGACACTGAATATAAATGTTTGTTCCTTTCCCTTCTCTAATAGATAAGTGTAATAAAGTTTCCACTGGGAAAAACTCCCAGAAGACTCAGCCCTTGCCCCTTATCACCTCCTGACTGGGGCAGGTGCCCCTCAAAGGCTGAGCTCTGTGCTGTGGGTCAGTAATCAGTTAAGAGTCCTATCCCTAACCTGCTTTTCAGTTTTAATGGGATGAATCCTCATAGGATGGGCTGCCATGGATGGATTGTGATCTACCTCGTACATTTCATTACATCAACTCTCCCCGACTCACCCTCTTCCTTACTGCCGTCTTGCTTTCAACGGCACCACTATCCTTCCAGTCATGCAATCAACCTGTGTCATTCTCAACTCTTCGTCTTCACTCATTCTAATATCCAGATAGGCGCCAAACCATCATTTCTGTCTCCACACTAGGTGTCCCATAGCTCCCTTCTCTTCACCATCCTACTTCAGGTCCTCACACCTCTTGCCTGGACTATGACAATAGCCTCCTAATTGGTCTCACCCTACTCTGATCCATTTTCCACACAACTGCAGACTGATTTTCCTAAAGTGCATCTCTGATCCATGTCACCCCATTACTCAATATACTCCAGAGTCTCCCTAACAACTCTGGGATCAAATATAAATGCCTTTGATTGGCATTTAAAACCCTTCACAATCTGGCCCCAAGCTGCCTTTCTAGCCTTGTTGTACTTTAACCCTCTTGCTGCACTTTACAATTCAGCCAAACTGGCTTCCTTGCTATTCCCCACATTTATACAAAAAACACAATTAATCAAACATGAATAGGAAATTAAGATATGATGCCATCAATTAAGTAGTACTAGATAAAGAAAGAGGAAAAGACTTATACTGAAAACTTTCTGCTGAGTTGAAATAAAAGATACTTAATTCACTTTCCCTTCCCCCCCCCCATTGGTAGGTGAATGTATATGCAAAGAGAAACTTGACACCTGCTGAAAAGCTGGTATGTTTACTGCCTATTTTGAAACCTGTTATTTGATTGTCATGTTGCATGTGGCAAGTAGGTGGCTCAGTGGATAGAGTGCCAAACCTGAAGTCAGGAAGACTCATCTTCCTGAATTCAAAAATGGCCTCAGATACTTACCATGAGCAAGTTAACCCTATTTGCCTCAGTTTCCTCATCTGTAAAATGAGCTGGAGAAGGAAATGGCAAACCACTCCAGTATCTTTGCCCAGAAAACCCCAAATGAACAAGTTGTGGGATATAAATATAATGGAATACTGTTGCGCTATAATGATTTCAGAAAAACCTAGAAAGACTTACATGAACTGGTACAGAGTGAAATGAGCAGAACAAGGAAAACGTTGTCCACAGTAATAACCATACTGTAGGATGATCAGCTGCGAATGACAGCTATTCTAAGCAATACAATGGTCCAAGACAATTCCAAAGGACTCATGATGAAAAATGCTATCCACATCCAGAGGATGAACTGATAAAGTTGGAATGCAGATAAAAGCGTACTAGTTTTCCAGTTTTGTGTGTGTGTTTTCTTTTGATATGTATCTTTCACAACACGACTAACATGGAAATATGTTTTACATGACTGCACATATATAACCTACACCAAATTGCTTACTGTCTTAGGGAGGAGCGAGGGGAGAGAGGGAGAAAGAAAATATAGAGCTCAAAATTTTATTAAAAAGAATGTTAAAAATTGTCTTTACATGTAATCAGAAAAAATTAAATGCTATTTAAAAGGGAAAAAAAGAAAACTCCAAATGGCGTCACAAAGAGTCAGACATGACTGAAAAAACTAAACAACAAAATGTTATGTATATTTCAATGTTAAAACTATTCAAAAAAAATCACTTGCTTGGCTAGCTATATTCAATCAATCAATTATTGAATTTTTATTAAGTCCCTGCTATGTTCTAGGCACTGTGCTAGGTGCTGGGGTTATAAGTACAAAGAATGAAACAGCCCCTACTCCCAAAGACAGTCTGTTTTAATGCAGGGACAGAGCAAGTATATATAGAAATGTAACTAGGGACTATGACTGGCCAATGGGCCCAGTCCTTATGAGAATGTGCAATGTACTCGGATGATACAATCTTGTGTCAACTTCAGAGCACATACAGGTCCTGTTTCTGGTCTCCTTAAATCAAGGTAAAGATGGACCTTTGGGGTTGATAAAAGATTCCTATGGGGGCAACTCACTCTCTTTCCTCCCTGGGTTCAATCAAAGGAAGGCATGCACATGGCAAGACCTGTATGAAGTAATGCAAAGTGAAGTGGGAACTGGGAAATCATTGTGCCTGGTAACAGCAATGTTTATCTTTTCTTTTTGTATCACCTAAACTTTGTATCAAGCAAGTTTAGGTGATACAAAAAGAAAATATATTAATAAAAATAATTTTTTAAAAAAGAATTTTTTTTTTAAAAAACGGTCGTTAAACATTTGGCCATTGTTTCTTGCGGTATCCAAAGATAAAAATAAGCGAATAGGTTGTCATGAAGCTGACCTCAGCTTATTTGCAAGCTTTTCCCTTTTTTTAAACACTGAGTCTTACGCAGGCTAGAAATGTAGGGGCTACTCATGGGCCTGATCCCACCATTAATCCACATGGGAGTTTTAACCCGCTCTATCTCTGACCTGGACTGGATTTGATGGGGTGCTTGGGTGCTTATGCTTGTATTTGGACCCCAATTTCTCCCTAGTCTCAGAAACACTGTCTCTGACAATCACTCCGCAGCCCAAGGACACCATGCCTAGCAATTACTCCTGCGTGGGCCCCAGCAAGACCCTTATCTCTGTCCCTGGTGCAGCTATACAAAGCTGGGTGGGAGAGTGCTGGGCTGCTCAGGCCCCAGCCCTAAGATCATGTCTCTGGAAGTCTCCCAATTCCTTAGTAAGCTCCTGTCTTGTGAGTAAACTTTCCCTTGTTGCAGAGAATTCTCTAATCAGGACAGAGAGAGAGGGGTGTCTTGTCTGGCCCAAGGAGTTTTGTCCTTGGCTGTCCCAAAGACTCTTCCTCCTGCCAGACTCCCAAGATCCATACCTCTGTCATATCCCTCCCTGTCCGGTATACTCCCTGTACTTTCCCATCCATAGCTCCCAAAGACACCTGGACCTTTAGATTACCTAATCGGTGTCCTTGGCATTCCTTTCCCATGCCCTTTTCCATATAAACCCTAGCTCTATCCTCAGTCTCTTGCAGGTTCCTTAAGAATCCTTGCCCACTGAAAAGCATAACAATAAATCTTTGCCACCTTGACTTAAAGAATGCTCGAGTCTGTGAATGCATTCCAGACAACCCCTTCCTGTACTCCAGTCTTGGAGGGGTCTCAACCTCTCAGACCGCAACAGATTAATCTTCCTTATGCAACCTATTGGTGTCCCACTCCCAGGCACTCACCATATTGATGCTGAATTTAGATACCTGATTGGCTTAGCCCACTGCAGCTCAGAACTCCTGAGCTCAAGAGATCTGCCAGCTTCAATCTCCTTGATACCTATGGTTACTGGCATTTGCCATCAAGCCTGGCATCAGAATCTTTTGCAAAGGATGAAGAGAAATTCTGTGAAGAACTTGACAAAGGAGTCTGTTACAGTGGAAAGTGTACTGGTTTGGGGGTCAGAGAACCTAGGTCTAAATATTGGCTTTGCTACCTATTACCTGTGTGATTAGAGGCAAATAACAGCCTTCCTAGAACATTGCTTCCTCACCCATAAAAAGAGGAAGATTAGAATAGATGGCCTCTGAGGTTTCTTCTACTTTAAATCTGTGATTCTATGAAGATGCTCTGAACTACATCAACATATGGCTTCATGTTCAGTGAGCTCAAAGGCGCTACTAGATATGATTCAGTCATGGAGAATGTAAGCTCCCAAGGCTGGAAACAGTTTCATGTTTTCCTTTGTATTTCCCAATATCTAGCACAGTGCCTAGCATGTAATAGTTACCTAATAAGTGTCTGTTGAATTAAATTGGCTTTTAGTGAATGTCAAATGAAAGAATGAGTGGAGACATGACCTCTGGATAAGAGAGGTGTCTTGACTAGACATGTCAGCCTCCTAGCACTAGACTTAGCTTAACAGCTAAGGACTCTAAGGCGAAAGGAAGCTTTGAAAAACATAGGCAGAGGAAGGATGGGTGAAGGGGGAAAGTCTGAAGAATACAAGAAGGGAGAAGAAGAGGAATTGAGTGAGCACAGTGAGTCTGGCTACTGCCCACCTAGGAGTGAGACTTGAGCTGATCCTTAGAAGCTGGGTAGAAATTCTTCCCTGTTCCCACCCCCC